CTCTTTCCCCTATATATATTTATGTGTATTCTTCCCAAGTCAAAGTCCTCCTTCAGAACTTCAGTTTCAAAATAAAATGGTTCTCTGATACTTTGGGTTATATGTTAATAACTGCCTAAGGTATATGACCTTTTACTTTTTTCTTTTTGATGATGTGGGTCTGCTTGCTGTAGAAAAACAGCAGAAAAGCTCCTAGTCTTTAAACAGAGGAAACAACAACCTTTACATGTTACCATATAATGCTCAGGTTGATTTAAGGCTGAATTAAACAGGCTGTAAATTTAAGAACAATCTCATTCCATGGCCTGAAATTAATTATTCTAGCCAACATGTTAATTTAATCTCATAAAGACATGAGTTTATTAGTGAAGATGCTGAAGAACTGCAGTCCATCCAATCCACTGACACGTTTTTTTTCCTAAGCTCAGTTATGAAATGCAGAGTTGCAGTTTTACAAGGTACATATTTTCAATTAGTGAGAGAATATTACAGAACATAAACAAAGGGTGAAGAGCAGTATTTAATGGGATTCAAACCAATAAATCAACTGAGAGAGAGGATCACCTCTGGCTAGAGTACATGGTGAAAAAAATTCAAATGTTGAATGACTGTGATTTATATATATATTTGAATCTTACAGCAGATAATATGTCGACTGTTTCATACTGCATGACATTTATAGCATAAGCATGTTAAATAGAAAAGTCAAACAAACTAACTGTTGACTTAAGACTTGTATAATGACAAAAACCATTTACTACCTTTTCAGTCTTGATAATACTTTCGTTGTGTAAAAACACTGTGAACATAAAAAAACCCTCCTTCTAAGATCTCCCCCACTGAAAAATAAAAAGTTCTTAAGTACAATGACTCTGCAGTAATTAATTTGAAATTAAAAGACCTCAAATCGGCTGATTCTCTCCAAGCTCAAGCTTTGTTAGGAAAAAGGTAACAAAGACCCTTCAACTGGTTTGCCTTATACTGTAGGATATCTTTAAAGACCTTGTTGACTGCACTCAATAATATCTACCTTCTTTATGATGTGGCTGAGGTTACTAAAAACATCTGCACACGTTTAAAAATCTGGAAAGTCCATAGCCATTCTACACACTTTCATTTATTGTCTGGACAATTAAAGTACAAATAATTCAAACACAACAAGATTATGAAAAAAACATTTACAATACTTTCCCTCAGAAATGATCTAAACTAGCAAGGTTAACATGAAGTCATTCATTATAACTAAAGTATACAACTGCCTGGTCCTAAGAAAGATTTTTTATTATTATTATTCAGATAGTAAAACACATTGTAGAGAAAAGATTCTGACATGCCTTCCCCACTAATGCTTAGCAAATGCATCAAAACTTTCCCAGCAAACTGCGCTCATTCATAGCAGATGATGTATAAAGGTTTCCCTGAACATTGAATGAGTGTTCTTTTGAACTAAAATCTAACATTTTTAAAGTAAAAAAAAAACTGATAAAATTATGATGCAGCCTTTGCTTTAGTTATTTGTCTACTACAAAAGTTTGCCTCTTCAGTGTGAAAAAACAATACTTAGTCTACATGCAGTTAGTGGGTATAGCATGGAAAAAATGCACAAAATAAGCACAAGTTATAAATAACCATAACGTTTTATTACCATTAGACTAAACTTGTATTGAAAAGATTTTATATAACAAGACAAGAAAAGCAATAGCAAATTTAACTATCAACTAGATTATGCATAGCGAGTAACTGTTTCTAGTACTCAGGGAAGAGCATGACCCTTTTTTTTTGTTTTAAATATATAACCGTACAAAGCACAAACATACTAAAATGATCAGTGCACTGGACATGGGAGAGCACCCCCTCAGTCAGTTTGTTCCCTTAGCTCTGTTTTCCCCAATCTGAATTACATTAAAATAAAGACCCAGTTGTTTTCTTTTCTACTGTGCAGTAAGAAAAAATATTCACAACAAACATGACAATATATCAAACAATATTTCTACACAAGTTACCTTGATACCTCTGTCACTTAAGTATCATAAGAAAACATTTTAAGACATATACAAACAAAACTAGCAAAGTGTTACAACTTAGAATAAATTAACCAAAAGAAAAAATAACTTTATATATATATATTTATATTATATATACACATACACACACAACAAAATGACACAATAATATGCTTCTTCCCATAGTTTAAGTAAACAAATAAGTAGACTAGCCAAACTAGCTATATTTGATTTTGGCCATATGCATCACATCGGCAATTAAATAAATAAGTGTTTCAAGCAACATAAACAGTGTTCCAAATGTGCCAACACAGCCCAGTTATATTAGCATGGGCTAGAAAGTGAATTTGAAAAGTCTTAACAAATTTAAAGCAAATGTAGTTTTTCTAAACACATTACATTTAACTATGATACTAAGATATGTAAATAATTTTGTAGCACCTACTGCTCAAACCAAGGAAGTTTTTGATCAAAAAACTAATTTTTTTAACTTTTGTTCTGCTGATATCCCGTACTGATGACTTAAAGAAAAACTGTCTTGCAACTCATCTCCTTGCTTTTGGGTTTTGACTGTGGGTAACTGTGTGCCTGGGAAGAACACTCTCCCGTACTGTATTTAATATTTTTATTACATGCTATGAAAAGATACGAAGATCATCTGTTTGTAACCCATCCTTCAAAAAACAATCTACTAATCCAGTTTAAAACACACATCTTGATCTCTAAAAAGTTACCAGTGCAGTATGAACATGACAAAGTTGTCAATTTCCCCTAAATTAGCCAGTCAAAATATTTTTCTCAAATCCAGATTCTCTTGTAAAAATTCTTTATATTTTATAAAAATAGATTTTTCTTGAAACCCATTTTCAGCAAAGAGACCACCTCTTTGGCAACATTGTTAATGTTATTTAAATTGTTGTGTCATCAGGTATCCCCCTTTGACCCCATTCCCTAACAGAAGACTGTTTAGTTCACATGATATAAAAGAAAAAAGGAAAAATAAAAAAAGTTGCAAAATTATGGTTGTTTTTTTTTTCTTTTTTTTTTGCAATTTTTATTGTTCCTCTTTAATTTATGTGGGGGGGTTTACCAATCTGATTGGATCAATGCTTTGAAAGAAAAAGGAAAAGAAAAAAGAATCTTTTTTTTTCTTGCTTTTAATCCCATTAGTTTGTAAAAATTGTTTTTATTTATTTTTTTAAATGAGTGAATGGTCATCTTAAAAAGACCCACCTTCAAGGAAGGTGGTAAAACTAGCTGGCCGGGTAAAAATCCCTGCACATTGTTATCTATGTATAGTATATTCAACAACGACAGCTATGAAAGAACATTCAATGCATCAAAGGTTTTTTTTCTAAGCATTATAAAATCCTTTCCTGTTCATCACAGGATATCCAATGTTTTAATACTTAGGCAACACTGGCTTATAAAGTCCATGGTTGAATATAAGCCTTGAAGAGTTTTTTTTTTTTTTGTTCGTATATATATTTATATATATATTTTAGTAAGTAAGGATATGAAATTCAGGATTTGTGGGTTTTATTGGTTTTAAAGGAAACTTGCAATACTCTGTCTCCTAAACGGTATCCATTAAGGCTGGCAATTGCCATGGCAGCTTCGTCGTAGTTGGTCATGGTGACAAAGCCAAATCCCTTGCACTTGTTGGTGTTGAAATCGCGGATGACCTTGACGTTATTGACTGCTCCGAAGGGACCAAAGAGCTGCCACAGCACACTTTCATCTGAGTCGGGAGACAAGTTGTAGACAAAGATACACCATCCAGTCCCAGTGTGACCAGGGATATTCATTCCGACCAGGCTCGTCATCCCATCAATTGTGATTGGGGAGAACCTACCAAACAAAAAGAGGGGTCTATTCTAAATATATCTCTTTGAACACGTTACATGGAATCAAGACTTAAAGAAATCACCATCCAAACCTGGGGATGCAAACTATATGCCACCCCCGCCCCTTTGGTCTCAGTTACACAGACTTCAACCCCTGCTTTGAACGACTGAGATCTATGCCCAATGGAAAGGACCAGAATCGGATACAGCTGCATGTTCCTCTATATGGATAACTTCAATTTAGCTGCTTACTGTGGTCCAGCAAAAGAATTAAATATCGATCTAATCCTGTAAACTCTAAAAAGGAGTTCTCCTGCTCAAGGACTGCCGGATTTGTCCCTATCATTCTCAAAGAAAACACAAATGAAGGACAGTGGGTACAGCAGCAAATTTACTGATGATTTAGCACTTTAATTCCCACCAGTTTCTTGTGGGAATGTAGCTCTCTTAGGACTTACTTTAAATATGAATATGAAATATTTGTAGAAAGATTCAGTGGTGTTAATATGTTCATATCTATCCAAAAAGTACTGAGGGCTTTCTGTTCTGTTTTGAGTTTCATTTCTTTCTAGAAAACTGTAATCAAAGACATTTGAAAAGAATATACTGTTGGTGGTGACACCCCCAAACAGGATTGGTTGTATTCTAATTATAAAATAGGAAAACCAGTGCATGAGGGCAATGTCTTTGTTATGTTTGGTTTATGAACATGACATTGCTTTAAAAGTTTGACAAACCATGCCATTTTTGAGACCACTATTAGGTGGGTTCTGTTTTAAAATAACAACTGAGCATAGAGAAAATCTTGCTGAAATCGTATTTCCCATGGAATTTAAAAGTGGGCATCTTGAATGTAGCAAATTTTAATTCCCCAAGCTGAATAAAATTCTTGCTAGTGTTTTGGGAATGACTCAGTGACATAACTGTGAAGTAGGAAGCTTTCTGTCTGATACCTTGTTTTGAAATTGCTATTCTTTTAGCGTGCCTTTGGCAAACAGACCTGCAAAACGTTACTCAACAGTAATGCAAGTTAAATGACTATAAAAAGAACTGTGCATCATGTTGATTTTGTATCACCTATCTGGAATTACAGCTAGAAACTCAATCTCCTCTATCATAACCTTAAAAAAAAGTGCTTTTCAATACACAGCCCAAACTGAGAAACATCATTTGTTTGCATCTGTGGCCTATGATGGAGTAATTTTATTCACACATTCAAATGCTCTCAAGCACAAGCATGGCTTTTCAAAGGGATCCAAGTACTGACCTTACTTGGGGCAAAGCTCCCAAGGAATTCAATTTCTGAAAATCCCACCTACAGGATGCCACAGTTTTGTTCTTGTCCTTGTATGCTTATGCTAATATTATCGTAATCGTGTGGGATGGCTTTGCAGGTTTAGCTTTCTCATGCTATAGCCTTGGCTGGTTAAAAACAAAACAAAACAAAAAAACACCCAAGCACAGGCTATGCCAACATATATGGCTTAGGATCCAGCCATCTAAGGCAAGGTCTAAGGATCACAATTTCTATTCATTCAGCAGTTGAAGGTAGGCCTTCAAATGTTATACTAAGTTCACTTCAAACTTTGCTGGCCTATATAAAAGGCCAGCAAACAGTGTTCTCTCTGTGTTGTTATACTTCATCTGAAGCGTGTGCATGCCAGAAGGGTTTCTGGTATGCTTCCATGTAAATTATGATACATCATGCTAAAGCATGCGGTTTGCAGAGTGCACAAAAGTTGTGCACAGGTCCACAATATGCCGCACTATGAGACTGCAGAAACATCATACTTATGTATGGGCACGAAGAGTTATGACAAAGGTTTGTGGTCTGCAGATGTCCGTGGCATGGAGGTGCTTCCCTGAAAGTTGCCTAAGCGTTCCCTAAGTTTTTCCATCTAAGAATACAATTGAAAGTACAGTGGTGGGTGTAGCTCCTACCACCATGCAGGCTGGTATAGTGAAAGTTTATTGACCTGTGTTTGGGATGATAATGAGTTAGGCCAAATGAGTCATCCGATTAGTGCCAATAAAATCTTCATCCCACATCAGCATGTCTCATGCTACACTGTCACAGGAAAAACAATAGACACTCTGGAGACTGTTTGTAGACAGTTGTAAAAATGCTTGTTGATCCTACTTGCTGCATCCCTCTGCCTTTCGGCTCTCGATTTGCTAGAGCAGCCAGTACATATCTTCTGGGTTTTCAGGGAGAAGAAAACAACTAACAAATTTTAAAAACTTCAAGAATTACTGAAGGAAGCTGTTGTGATGTTTAAGCCTGAAGTCTCATGATCTACTAATATTGGTAGATCATAGTAGAAAGCAGAGGCCCGGCTTTGACATGGTAGGAGGCTGTTCTTTCTTCCTTGCTCTGATGAGACACATGAAATGAGAAATGAAACCCTCTGTAGTCTAGGACTGAGTAGCATTTATCCTGGGCCACAGGTCAGTGTAATTCTGAGAATAACTGGCACATTTAAGCAGAGAAAGAAAAAAGGAACATCCCTCTGACAGGTCGTTTTAAGTGGCAGCTGTTTGGAGTCCTTGAACGTTACTAACAGCGATGCAAGAGATGGAGGAGTGGGCAGAGTGCAGGTGAGGCAGTCACAGGTGCATGATGAACTGCAAAACCATGCAATAAACTCCGATTCATCATCTGGCTGTCACCACAAAACAGGTACCAAAAAACCCAACAAAAAACGTGCTAATGGATACCTTTTCTGAGGCTTCTGGAGAAATGTGAAACATCTAGTGTGACAGTTACTTTTGCTTATAATGTTTGTCTAATGGTTTACAGGACCTGCTGGTAGATGGTACAATGGCCACTGGGATCATATAAATACTGTCTACTACATGCTTACTGTACCAGATGCATAATATGAGGTTTATAAAAAGCACGCCTAGTTTTCAAGAACGTGTCGGACCGTCACTTACTGAAAACAAAGATGATTTCTCATCTCCAAATGTGGGGATATGGGTGGACTGGACACTTCTAGGTAACGTTATAAATGAGACTATGCCTCAATAGTAGTGATGCGTACCATATATACAGATATGAACTCCTTGTTTCCGATTTCAGACTTAACATGGAACACACTCATGATGGAGAACAACTGTTTCCAAATTAGCTAATCTTTTAATCCAATCTCAACAGACACACATCTCCACATTAAAATGAACATAAGAAACAAACAACACGCACGGACAAATATTTGCAACACTTGTTAAACCTGTAACAAAAGAAAACTGAAGGATGATTAAGGTGCACACAGTTACACTTTTGAAGTCATCTTTCCGATAAAATGCAGATATAGGAGAACTTGAGGTCCTTCCATACATTTTAGCCAATAGCCGTTTAACTCCGTTTTCCACCAAGAAATTTTACGCAACAAGGTTGGAGACTAGCAGAAAGCTCAGGTTAATAATTCTGAGTTGAGGAAATGTGTCATTTGGCCAGTCTATTGGTATCTGAATGTGTGTAGCTGTTGCACCAAAACCATCTGAGAAGCCCACCTGTAAATGAAAGAAAAGGTGAAAAAAAACCACATGGAATTTTTGCGTGTGGCCTTAAAGCAACAAAACCAACCGAAGTCCAAACTTAAAAAAAGAATTTGACATGCTGGTGGAAGAAAAGAAGGAATTAAAAAAATAAAAATAAAAGTTAGTGAATTAAAAAATAAATTGTAGCACCAATCTGTGCCAACATGGACATCTGGCAATCTGTGGAATTCTAATTACCTCTTTACGCCATAGGCCATATTAAGCAAATTGTCCAGCCTGAAAAGAGAAGGAGGGTCTTTGGGTTAATGTCTCACAGATGGCAAGATCGCTCAATGGAACTATTATTAATAATGTTCCATTTTCAAAGAAGAAATGCTCAACAAGTTTCCCACACATCTAAGGAGTTTAGGAACCAATGGCACTATCAAGTTCAGACTGTGCTTAAGTTTCCACCACAACATTTAATGCCATTTTAACATGCTTTTACATTCAATGAAAGGTGAAGCATATATACCTCTAGCTCCAGGTTTGATTTGCTGTTAAAAATTCCCCTTTGATTTTTCTTTTTTTAGATTACATTAGTGTGAAATCATAACAAGTACGATACTTCAGCTGTTCACCTTCCATTGCAATTAAACTTGTGAATAAAATGTCACAGTCCAAAATTACAGGAGTAGAAACAAACCATTTATAGCAATTCTTGCTACCAAGTTTTACAAGATGGTTTAGGCTTTGTTCTCATTAGAAAAACATTTAATAACGATCCCCCAAAGCTGTCAATGTAAATTGCCAATGAATTTTGTAGATTAAGCATAATTTGCTTTAACATTCAACACACATATGAAAATACCCTTTATCCATATAATGATTCAGCAAAAACCTCAATGGATATTGTAAGCTTACCAGAAGAATATTTTAAATATATGCTTGTTTTCAGAATAGCCAGACAACTGACTATTCCTGTGCCCTTCTTCAATTTATTAGCATATTTTAACATGGCAAAATTCAGATTCAAGGGAAGAATTTTTAAAAGCCAATATTTATCTTAACTCCGCCAATAAGTCTGAACCTTCCCATTTAACATTAAAAAATAAAAATAAAAACCTTACCCAGTAGTACAGAGAGCACAGACGTACTGCAAGTTATATATATCTGATACAAGCAGTACTTTTCAATGCAAAGCAAAAACCTTACGGAGAGCGTCTGCAGGTCAAACCAAGGACTACACAAGGTGCCTTTATATTGACAGCAGCCATGTGATGCTAATACATTAATGAAACTGCTGTGAATAAACTCAACTTCTTGCCTGCTACCAATCCAATACACTTAACATCAAAGTGAAAGTTGCATGCAAACCATTAATATAGCAGAAAATGAGTTACTAAGAAATCAGAAAGAACAGCATCGTCAGTTTTCATTTAATTATCCATATAACCTTTTATTCCATCATCCCTTTGTCTAAGGCTTCGTGAAAACTGATTGAAGAGTATTTTTGAGCTATTTCAGTAAATAAGACATGACTATTGCTGTCAGCAGGTTTTCTTCTCGTTCTCACGGAAAGAACATTCCATTTCACAAGGAAATTCGGGGCAATCTACCGATCTAGACCAGATTTCCAAAACAACACCTGCCCCGAACCAGTGTACCGGGTACACGCTCAGTTCCTGTGCAGATAATTACCTGAATCTCTGAGCCTGGTGGTGAAGGGGTCCAGGATAGCGTCTGTTGGGAGACTGGTACAGCTGTGAAAGGAGGGCCTGGCTTGTTTTCTGGCTGGGGTTATTGGCAAACTTCACAGTAATTGGTTCTGTAGCACCACTAGGTTTCTGGCCATTTAGTCCCTTTATGGCTTCTTCTGCCTCTATTCTCTTATCAAAACGGATAAATCCCACACCCCGAGAAACTCCTAGGAATAAAGAAATCAGTCTTTTAGGCAAATAAATAAAAGGAAGATGGCTTTCAGGAGCCGGTCGCCTAAGCAAGCAAGGAAACACAACTGAATGCCCCTCCTATGTTATACTGCGATTATTAAATAGAAGCAGACCTAACACATTAGTAAACTGCTCCATACATTCCCCTTAAAAACAGACTGGAAGTAATTAAAAAAAAAAAATCTGCATTTTAAAATGCACGTATTCCCCCACAGTTATATTAAACCCCCTGCCCCCTGTATATGCACTTTAACATAGGATTGAAATGTATGTCCAGAATTGTATGTTCTTAATGTATTGCACAATGTTGACACTTCATTATAGCCGGCCCAGTTCAACAGCATTTAAGTTTGCCACTTCCATGAAAGATTTGAATTTTAAGAAAAAAAAAAATGTTAACCTGTGACTTGATCAACCAGAATACGTGAGGTGATAATGCGCCCGTATTGTGAAAATAGCTGTTCTAGTTCTTTCTGGGTCATTGTTTTTGGAAGGCCGCTGACATACAAGTTAGCATCTCGGATTGATGCTGAACTTGGACGGGCATACGACACCTACGGGATTAAAAGAAAGAATTAAACACATTTTAGAGGGATGCATTCACCTTTCACATTTAAACCGACAGGTTAACTTTCCATCTTTACAATCTCTTAATGCTGGTTTGAATAGCCCCATACTTCAGATTTTAGCTGCTCTTGTTATAGCAACAAGAACCGGGAAAATGTGAAGAGAACAAAAGAAAAGCTGGAGATAAATAAATGCAAGGATAAGAGTTCTTTTAAGTGCAGGCACAAAATAACTATTGTATGGAGTTAGAATAATGCACAACTTCCCACACACAGCTTTGTAAATTTACCCCTGTGGGTTGTGGGTGTATAGATGATTTAGTGTATCCAACACACAATAATCTCTGAATATACCCAGCGTTCGGAGGTTCCAGCGTGTTTTGTTTCAAGTGTCTGAAACAGATCAGGTTATTTGCAGAGTGAACTTTTATGCTCTATCCCTTTGCGCTTTCATGCTGCGCTGGTATGCTCTACCCTTGCTGAATCACAAAACACTGGTGAAATTAAGCTAAACGAACATCTGTTTAGGGATCTGAAGATACGTTCCCATCATTTTATCTGCAATTGATTGCGAAAAAAATCCCCCTTTCGCTGCAAGTCTGAAACCTCCCCATAAAAACACCATGAGATAAGCAGGTAAAAATCCAGTTGATATACTGTGTGTATATAGTCAGGAAATTACTACATTAGATGTGGGAAAAACAGCTAGCACAAAACTAATAGAAAAGTTAGCTTTACACCTTTAACACATATATAAAACACTACATTTAAAAAAAATAAAAAATACAATCAAGTCCTCAAACTATAAAAAGTCGCTTCTTACACAGCGAGTGTTCAGCCTGGAATGTGAACATATTTATATTAAACGGCATGTCTAAAATACCGATTCCGTACAATTTAATTAAATAAAATGTATTTCAATCTAAATGTACGCTTAAATTCCTCTGCTATGTCTACGTACATACTTTAAGTCAAAAGGAGGCTGCATTAAGCTGGCTCCTCCACAGCCCAAACACAAATGATGTCATTAGATGTCTTTGTGTGTCAAGACGATGTCTTTATGTGCTCCACACCTAAAAATAGATGTTGACTCAACGCGGAAAATGATGCGAGTGACTAATATCAGCTTCCCCAGCCTTCTGCATGTAACTGGAGACAAGCTCTATAGATTTTCCATGAAGGTTTTTGATAACTTTCTTATAACTTGGATGCCTGCATATAACTTTTTAAAATTAATGGTAAGCAACAAGAACCAAAGCGAAATGGATGAAAAATAAGGAGAGAAATGGGGGGGGGGAAAAGGTTTAATGAAAATATTTCCACCAGGTATGGCAGCTGGAGACAATGAGGCCACTGGCACAAAAACACAGTCTAATAGCTTTTCAACCCACAATAAGTCCAGAGGCTGGGGAAGAGGGCAGGAATTCAGGTGTCTTGCCTGACCAGGTCTCTTTAGCGTGTGCTCAAGGGGTTTAGGAGCTCATGCCTGGTGCTTTCAATAGGACACATTCTCCTAAGTTATACGCCTTTCAAAATCCCACATACGCACCAAGATTTCTGGTGGCGGGGTAGAGGGGCACCTAGAGATTAAAGGATTGTCTCTCCATCCGTGGAAGTGATGGTTCAAAATGCAGTCTTTGCTGATATGTTGAGCACCACTGGTTCTTATCCTATTCCCCATTTGTGTATAACCATAAAACAAACACGCAAACTGAAGAAAGCTGGGGGACGACGAGCAAGACGGGCTCAAGAGAGACCCAGGACTAGAATAGGTAGCGTGTTAAGTACTAGGACTAGCAAGCCCCGGTACAGCTACACCTGGGATATTTCTATCTATCCACAATCTGCCATCACGAGGAATCCCTCAGTTTTCAGGAGGATTAAAGGCGGGGAACGAAATCCTGGCTGCACTGAACTTGGCAGGAACTTGGCCATGGACTTCAATGCAGCCAGCGTTTCACCTTGAGGGTCGAGAGAGGCAGAATACATCTCCAACAAAATCTGGTTTGCAAGCATCTCGTCTTAAGAAGCATACTGCCAAGGTTCACACACCTAGAGTTCAATCTACTTTAGAAATAACAGTTTAAAACACCATTCAGAGCCTGGAAAAATCCATCTGCTCCTCAAGCCAGAGACCTAGAAGATCAATAAAGTTCCCGGGAAAAGTGCCAACAAGAAACTCAGGTTCTGGGCTTCTTCGTGCTGGCACGTTCGTGCTCTATTTGTGTAGGCTGGGAGTATACTGGTCTGTGCAAAAACCCCACTTCCAGGACCAGTGACAAAGACTGGGATTCTTGCAATTTTTAATACTCTCCTCTGTTCTTGTAAAAGCCGGGAAGACAGATAAAGGACAGAGAGATTGTGCAAAGTTCACTCTCTCTTACAAACATCCACCCACAGCACACGTAAGCACAGATAACAACTCAGATATCATTTTAATTCCACCTGACATTAAGATTTTCTGGATGCAGGGGAGTCTGGCAAGAAGCTGCTCAAAGTTACTCAGCTATCCTCGGTATGTGGGAGATGGGGTTCTCAGCTGGATGGACGCAAGGCCAGCAACAGAAATGGCAATTATTTAACCTCTAGCAACATTTCCTTAGATTTCCTCTTAGGTCGGAGGATTACAAATGCTGGTTAGGATGTGCCGTCCTGCATGCAAGTTACTACTTCACTCGGTTCTGTGCGGCACAGGCTTTCAAAAGGTGTTAACTCTCAAAAGCAACCCTCCCCCCGAACCAAGAGGTCACCCTGCTACTGATGTTAAAACAGCTATTACGGAGCCATGCCAAAACCAGCTCCCATTCTGTTACCTAAAATTGTAAAACGCTCAGAAAATAATGTTGCACGAATTCTTTACATTCACACTTCTCTCCCGTTAAAAATGAGTTTATTTACGCTGGTTATTCACAACGCAGGGACTTACAACACAAATCCCATTTGAAAAAGAAAAAGACGTGAAAATCCTTGCTACTGCAAGAAATTCAGGGTATGCGAGTCTGAGCATGCAAAGCGGCTACACGAAGGGCTGATCCAGGCACGTTACAACTTGGAATCGAGAGGTGGTTATTCTGTAAGATCACTGCACATTGCTTAGATCAAATCTGCATGGGAAATAATATGATACCGTTGGGTTTCTTTTATAGCTCCCTTGTCTCCAATGATAAATTCTATCAATATGCACAGAATAACGGAGAATTTTTATTGTTTTTTTTGCTACACGACTAATTTTACAACCAATACAATCAAACTTCTTCAAGGGTCTCTCTTCTATTGGAAAGATGCTCTTTAAAAAGACTGCTTCAAACCATTTCCACATGCTATCGGACAGATCCTGGACCCAGGCTCAAGAGCGTAACAAGGGCAGGGAGGTCTTGGTGACAAAGCTGTGGATTTCTCCGATGGACCCAAAATCAACTCAACACCCCTCACTGCACAGCACAGACATTCCTGGGTAGGATCATGGCTGGAAATACTGTGATCCGTCAGAAACACCATTAGGAGACCACTTTACCCAGTGTAACTTAGAGCTGCCCTCAGGTCACCATAAATCATACTAAGGGGCTTGGCTGCCACCAATAGCCAGGTAAAAAGGCAGCTTGGAGGCATTTTTCCACCCCCTGTGATGCTTAGTTTATCCACTCTAAAATATTCAATCCAACAGTAACGAGGTGTGGCTAATAGCTACCTGTCAAACACGGGGATGTAGATATTTAGCTAAATATTCTTTCAGACTGCTTGTCGCCACACCTTTCAGGCACCACCACTGTGGTTGGCGCTGGACAAAATACTTCTCTACTTGAGCTGCTAAAGAAAGGTAAAATTTGCTAGAGTCTCATCAACGTGTGTCCAGGAGAAGCAACATATATGCAGAAGTTATACAGGCTCTTGCATTGCATGCCTTCCCTGGAAATAATTAGCTGCAGTCTACAGGCGTAGAAGAACATTTGTACGCTCAGCAGAATTATTTTCCTTCCTGATTTTTTTAGCTGTTTTCCTGCCCACCAAACTTTTGGCAGAAGTTTCGGCCCCCATGGCCGAAACCATAATCTTTGTGACCATAATACAACCACCAAGAGAAGCTTGAGCTTGTCCCACCTGTCTCGAAGACGCCTGACTACTCGGTGCCTAATGCTGACTCTCAGCCATTTCACTGCCAATAAACTTGCAAGAAACCTTTAGCTAATGCGCCTATCCAGCATGACTACATCCAAGTCCATCACAGCCTATCCATCTGTTAGATTTTTCCCCAGAAGCAAGGCTAATGAAATAGCCTCTCAATTTCTGTTGTTCTGGGTGTGCTCCCAAAAGCTTTGTCTTCTTGCACGGCAGCCCGGTCCCATCCATTTGGAGTGTGTCAACCCTGCTCTACCGGGTCACAAGAGCTGCTTCTAAGTGACGCAAGGCACTCGCTTTCTTGTAAAAAATGAAGTATGCTGCCTTCTGCGTGGACCAGTTTCTGCCAGCTTGAGGCCCGCGAGATGGCAGCACAGATGCTCTAAGACCACAGGGCACCGCTACCCGAGACAACCCCAATCCCTAGACGTTGATGTGCAGTGTCCTGCGGGCTGCCGTCTTTTACTCCTCCCCACCCAACGTTTGTAAATTATCGGGAAAATGTGGCCCAGTGACACAGGCAGGTACGGACCTTCATTAAGAAGTTTGAAAGACTCTGTTACTAGGAGCGATATATGGAAGGAGCTATTCCTTGCATAGCTTTGGGCAAGTCACTTAACCTTTTCCTGTCTGAGAGTCCAGCCTATAAAATGGGGATAATGTTTCCTCTTACTCTCTGTGCATGATCTATTTAGATCAGGGGTTGGCACACGAAGGTCATGGAGCCATTGGATCTGGCCTACAGATAAGGGGCTTCAGCACAAGGTGGGCTTCAACTGTGGGCGCTTTCCCCATGCCCCCATGAGAAGCCCCGGTTCTGGACAGGTCCCAGTGCCAGTCCATCTGCCCGCCTCTGACCCAAGCAGGCATCA